TACCTAGCGTTCAAAATTTTAGTTCATACAAAACTGTGTTCCTTGTTTTTAAGGGGAGAATCAACTTAAATTTATTAGCGAAAAAATAAAAAATAAAACAAACTTGTGGTTACAAAAGTAATAACACTCTAGTCACTAACTGCATTACAAAAGTAATAACACTATAATAGTGTTATTACTTTTATAATGCACTTATAACTTTTAAAATTCATTTTTTGTTCAAGCAACATTAGTATTCCCAAATTTTTATTTAAGTAGAAAATTATCTAGAAGAATAAAGTGGATGTTCAAATAATATTAAAACTAAAATAACTTATAAAAATGTGACAAACAACTTTGAAAACGCATTGTATTAAAAGTTTAGCATTATGAAAAACGTTACTAATGGACCGTAAAAACGCACATTAATTTTAAAATTACCCAATAAAAAATTTTTATTGGTTGATTTTAAAATTAATGCGCGTTTTTTACGTAATGTTTTTCATAATGCTATACTTTTTATAAAGTACTTTTTTATAACGTTGTTTAAGTGATATGTGAAAGTTCCTGAAATTTTTAATAATATTTGAATATCCACTTTATTTTTTCTAGATGCTTTTCTACTTTAATAAATGTTTGGAATTAGTAATGTTGTTTGAATAAAGAATGAACTTTAAAAGTAATAAGTGCTTTATAAATATAATAACACTATTATAGTTTTATTACTTTTATAATGCAGTTAGTGACTAAAGTGTTATTACTTTTGTAGTCTTAAGTTTATTGTTTTTGTTTTGTTTTTTGTAACTTTCTCGCTAGCAAACTTTTAATAATTTGCTCCTTATAAACAAAGTACACAGCTTTGCATGAACTAAAATTTTAAAGACCTAATATTTTACAAGAGTTTGCAAATCGCAATCGTATACTTTTTGATAAAAACTTGTTACATTATAATTATACAAATATATTTTACAAACAGATGACGATACATATTTTCTCTTTCGTCTTTAAAAGAAAAAACACATAAAATATGGGAAAGTCATCCTTTTTAACGCCTAAAACCGTTTTTTTTTTTTTTTTTTTTTGCTTTAACTTAATGAATTTCTGAAAATTTGCTGATAATAATAACCACTAAGAAAAAACGAAAATAAAAATAACACAAATTATTTAAACTATTATTATTGTTTTCTATTTAAGTTGACTTTAATTTCTAATGTAGTTATTAAATTTAAAACAATTTTTCAGTAACGCATATAATATAACTTGAGCAAACAGCCGTGATCACGTTCTCTAACTTGAAAAACGTTTTCGTGGTCGTACGAGACGAAAAACCGTACGCCTTTCCTGTGAAGGCTTGACATTAGTTTTTTTTAAAGACATCTTGGTCATGACCGTTTGCAAGTTTTATTATATTAGCAGGCTTGGTCGGGAAGCGGGTGCGATCGCACTCGATATTTGACCACGGAAATTATATTTAGTTGCGAAAAGCCGGCCAGATTTTTTAGGCGTTTTGAGAACATTTCAAAAACAAGCAAAAAAGCGCAATAAGATAAACTGGACCGATGAGAGACAGTTAAAAAAAAAAAATAGCTTTTAACGCAAAACTTTAAGCAAAATAAATACGATTAGAGTTTCAAAATATTTTTGAAACGTCACTCTTTTATAATTTTTTTTTTTTAAAAAAGCGACATTTTTTGTATATAGTAACAACGTACTAAGAATGATTGTTTAATAAAGAAACAAATGTTCTTCAATTTATCAAAGATTATATATAATTTTTATTTATATACTTATGTCTTATTTCCAGTGCTGGAAATAAGAGGTGGGGGGAGGGGGTAGAAGAGCTATAGTCCCGGGACACACAATGTTATGGGCCGAGAAATAGTCAAGAGGACCTATCGGTATTTTTAAGTCATTTTTACGCTGTCGCACATAAAAAAGGCCACCAAAATAATGCAGCCCCCGGCCCTGTAAAGTCCAACAAGATTTAACCAATAAAACTAACGCTACATAATTTAATTATAAATAACAAAAGTTTTTTCAGTACCTGTTTTATGCTTCGCGTAGTTTGAAAAGTTTAACATATTTAAAACAATTCTTCTTAGTAAGATGAACAAATGAAATAACTAAATCATTGAGTTACTGTGGAAATTTAATTAGCTAGATAGAAATTAACTAAAAACGTTAAATTACTTTGTAAGGAGGAAGCGGAACTGCTAAACAATATCGCTGATGATGTTTAGTGAGTGGGCTTTATATCTTTAACTAGTATTTTACAGAAAAAAAAACTTTAAGTGTAAGTATAACGAGTTTGTAAGAATGGCTGAAGCAAAAATAATTGAAGTTAATAAACCAATTTCTAATACATTACATACATATAAATACATCCCTTATATATAAAAAATAAGATTATACTAATTAAATCTATAATATATTTACAAAACGTTGACAAGTTAAAAAATATAAATTTAAAACATTTATTTTTGTAAACAAATGTTAGTTTAAAACATTTATAGCTTTATGGATGTGACTCCGAGAATGAGCCATTGTATTAAAATAATTGTTCGTTTGATAGTATATTCTTAAAACAATTGATGCTAGAATTCTCAACGAAAAAATAACAAAAACAAAAAAAGAAGATTTTGAAAAATAATTCAACAGAATACTCTAGAACAGTTGCGTAGTAATTTCAGTTATTTATTAATTGAACTAATAGAATTAGTTGTTCATAAATTTGGCGGGTTTTTTGTGTTCGCGAATATTCTTTATTTATTTTTCCGCACTAAGACGTTTGACAACATTCAAGTTTATATAAGCTTCCATGTACGTCCGTAAAAAAAAATCTTATAAATTTACGATAAAATGAACTTATTATTTTGCAAATAAACAAGGAAACATACATAAACTGAAATGTTCTCAAAACGCCTGAAAAATCTGGCCGGCTTTTTGCAAGTAAATATAATTTCCGTGGTCAATTATCGAGTGCGATCGCACCCGCTTCCCAACCAAGCCTGTATTAGGCGTTTTAATACTTTGTAGAAAAAACTAAGTTTTTTTAAGAGGTGTTTTTTCAGGGTGTTTGTTAGTAAAAATTAATAACAAACACCTTAAAAAAATGATAATAAAAACAATACACAAATTAAATTCAAATTTATTTTAACTTTCTATTTTGTTAGTTTTGCTTTCTTTATTTTTGAAATTTAGTTTTTTCTGAAAAGTATTGAAATGCTTAATATAATAAAACTTGCAAATGACCCTGACTAAGATGTCTAAATAAAAAACTTTCATGGACAAACAAGACAAAAAAACTGCATGCATCTTCTGGGAAGGCTTGCCTTGTATAAGATGTTACATTATCCAAAGCTGGTTCGTCTTTTTTTTTTCTTCCATCATCGGTTAAGATTTTGTATCTCTTTAAAGTTTATGGTAATTTTATTTTTAATTTTCTTTTGGATTTAGTTTAGTTTTATAAGCACATTTTTAAAACATGCAAAGAACTGTGGCCAAGTTGTTAAAAGAAAATATATGCGTGAGCCTCTCCTCAGAAGACTAGTGAATTCTACTTTTTTTTCTTCAGATGATTAACATGTGTTTCAAATTAAAATAGAGGTCTTATATCCAGGGTTGGGAAAAACCCAGGTTTTTTTTAAAAAAACCCAGCCCAGTGGGTTTTTTTGGGTTTTATTGGGTAAATTTGAGTTTTTTTGGGTTTAATTTTTATTTTGTTCCTGCAAAAAATTTTTTTGAGTTTTTGTTTAATGATATTGAAAACTAGTTTCATTTTCTACTTTAACTTTATTTAAAATATATTTTATAAATTGTTATTTAATTATTTATAACAAGAATTTTTCATATTATTTTTAAAAAGATTTTTAAATATAATTTAAAACTGTAATAGAAAAAAAAATTTCACGCTTAATCTATATGTATTGATTTTTTTTAAATTTAAAAGTATTATTCTATATAATTAAAAATGTCAATGAGAAAATGGGAAAAAGAAGGCTAGAGAATGGGAGGTAGTAACTGAAGTTTCAATTAAACTTTGAACTTGAAATTCAAATGAACAAACTTGTTCCTCTGCGTAGCGGCCTTGTTGTATAATAAAGATTCGTGTTTAGGAGTTAAAGAGTCTTTTTTTTTTTTTTAATGAATTCACCTCCTCAAGGTTTAAGGCCACTACAGGCGAGGAGGCTATTATTTGTGGATATAACCCTCTCTCAACTCTATAACTTCGAAACACGAACCTTGACGAACAAGGCCGCTGCGCGGAGAAAGGAGTTAAGCGCAATACTGCCAGGGATGTAGTGGGGATCGAACTTGCAACCTCTCACTTATGAAGCGAGCACTCTACGACAACACCACTACCGCGTAAGAGTTGAGAGAGGATTGTAACCACAACAGGGTAGCCTCCTCGACTGTTGTGTTGGCTTCTCTGGTCACTGCTACTCATTTAAATTCAACTTGGGAGGTGAATAACATAAAGTAATAAAAATCTCAATTGATAAAAATATTTGAATAAAAATTGTAATAATGTATTTCCAAATAATGATTCAAATAATAGTAAACCTGCTCTAATAGCTGTTATTGTTGGTTATAATAGTTAATAATAATAGTTAATAACAATTTAGTTAATAATAATAGTTAATAATTATTTTAGTTAATAATATGATAGTTATAATGTTAAAGTTGGTTATAATAGTTCATAAACTTAATAAATATCTTTAAAAATACCCAATAAAACCCAGATTTTCCAGGGTTTTATTGGGTTTTTTTAGACGGGTTTTTTTGGGTTTTATTGGGCAGGTTTTTTAATGCCAACCCTGCTTATATCAGAGTTCTCTATCTCCTAGGAAAGTTGCCTTAACCATAAGAGCATTACCTGCTTTAACACAAAATCAGTTTTATGTCATGACCAGGACAACAGCCATTGTCCATGCTAAAGACAATAGATACCGTAAAGGTCATTTAGAGGAAAACATTTTTTTGGCCAAACCTGTATACAAGAAATAAAGTAAACTACTTACCACAACCATTAGCACCAAGAAGACCATATCTTCGACCACAATTTAACTCGATGTTAGCATCTGTTAAAAGTTCAACACCATGATACCTTAGTGATATTTGACCAATGTGCAAATCTCTTGCATCAACATGAGATAGTAAAACACCAGCAACAGATATATTTGAAAGTTTCATTTTTCCAAAATCTGAAGATGGATCAGCATTAACAGGTGTTGCGTCTCCATTGACCGTTCCATTTTCTTCACCATTTGTAGCATCGCCATTAGCTAACTTAGCATTTGGCTTGCCACGCCCAGCAACTTTTTTTTTTTCTTTTCTTTTTTTAGCAGACTCTGAAGGCATATTAAAGTTTTAGCTTGGGTTGGTGGAAAAGGTAACTAGTCTAAATTCAATGAAAATTAAAGAATACATAAGTGATATATATATATATATATATATATATATATATATATATATATATATATATATATATATATATATATATATATATATATATATATATATATATATATATATATGTATTGGATGTATATACTTTAATATATAATGGTATATATATTACAGTATTATTATTTTCAAAGTCAATTTAATTGCATAATCTGATTTATTTTACTCTGAAATGGAGCATTTTTAATTTATCATTGGTCAAAATTTAACTTTTTTTTATAAAGAAAATTAAAGAAATTAATGAAAGAACTTTTGTAAATTTCATGTAGCAAAAGTTAAAAATACACAATAAAAATTAATCTTATAAAAGGTTTCAACAAAAAACAAATTTTTTTTATTAATATGTGTGTTGATATTAAATATTATGTTTCTACATTTGAAGTTTTAAATAAAGATGTTTAACTTATATTGCACTAATTCAAAGTTAAAACACATTTTAACTTTGAATTAGTGCAATATAAGTTAAAACTTGAAATAAAATGTTTTTATTATTCACACAATGAAGAAATAATATTTAAAATTTACTTATTCAAGAATCTGTTTACGATTTAAAAAAATCTGTTTACGATTTAAACTTTGAATAAACTAAACTTTGATTTTGCAATTCTTTTGTTTGATAACTTAAAAAATACTCCACCAGCAATACTAGTGAAACTAACAATCATTCCACCAACAATACTACTGAAACTAACAATACTCCACCAGTAAAACTTTTAAAAATAACAATTAGTGAAAAACATTTTTAAATAAAAAATGTTTATTTTTAAGGGCATTTTAATATATATGAAACTATTGAACCTACTGGCTGTTTAAAAGTTAAAATTTGTATTTTAAAGGATGTTCTTTGGAGAGAAAAAAAACAACTGTTTTTTCCGGCAATAATTGCATAAATATGAAAGTCCAATTATTCTCTTGATCTGGCCTTTGTAATTGACTAAAATTACCAGGTACGCTATTAATAATCATTAATTTTTTGATAAGCAGTTCAAGACAATTATTTGAATTATGGATCATTCTGTCTAATTCAAGATTAATAAAGCCTTTATTGAATTGAAGATTTATACAGGGATTATCCTGGTCTATTTTATAAACACTGATAATTTTTTTATAAAAATATCCAGAAAAAATCTGGAAGTTTGTTAGTTAAATTTAGTGTTCGGAATTTATGGATGATCCCTTGCATTTTGTGTAAGGGATCATCCATAAATTCTGAACACTAAATTTAACTAACAAACAAAACAAAAATTTAACTAACAAACAAAACAAAACTTTGAATATTACCATATAATATTAATAGATAAAACTCATGAAATGTGTTTTTAATTTTAGTAATGTGTAGCTTTTATCACAAAGAAATTAACAAATTTAATCTGCTATTGCAAAATTGATTTTGTCATAGAATCTATTGTTGATTGATTTTGTACATAGTTTGCATTATGCCTTATCAACATTTTGGATATCAAAACAATTCTGAACTTTTGAAGTTTTAAATATTTGAGGGAATTTTTAAAGAACTAAAAATTTTAATACTCCGTAACTAAATTTAAAATATAAAACTTCTTAAAAATAAAAAATAAAACAATTTAAAAATAAATTATAGCATTCGCGGGAAAGTTATAAAGATGTTTTTTTCTTGGGATGCCAGAAAAAATCTCCTGAGATTTCTGAAAATTGAATAACCATCTTTCCAAAGAACATCGCAATAACAATCCCTAGTCACCACTACAACAAAAAAATTGTTTTAGCATTTTTTGTTTATACCATATTATACATAAAAATATTAAAATTAAAATGACAAAAAAATTACTTTAAATGTATTATCATCTCGGCCAAATTAATGAAAAATCTTTTTCATCATTTGTGGCATGATAAAAATTATTTTTGATGCATTTTAAGCAAATATTATTAATTTATATTTATATTGCTGTTATTGCATCAACAACAACAACAAAAAAATATGCCTCAAATATGTAGATAAAATTAACTAATTTGTTTACCAACAAGGGCAATAAAATAAACTATATTTATATTGTTGTAAAAAAATTTGTAATATTGCCTTAAGAACTTTTATCAACTACTTAAACAAAAAGCCAAAGCAAAAGCAGAAGAACAGTTCTACTCTTTAAAACCATGAACCAACGCTCATAATAGTTTTTCAAAGCTTGCCGATCAAATGTAATTTTTTCACAAAACAGGTTATTTTGCCTTGAATTTTTTGAAATTTCCTTAAAATTAGCCAATCATTGATTGGCCGTTATTTCGAGCGCTGATGGACATTAAGTTATTTGAAAATTTATACATTTTTTTTGAATGTTTCATCTGGGAAAATAACCTGGCCCCAACTTTATTTTATCAAACCTTATTATAATAGCAGTTATTGCAGACACTGTATTATAATGAAAATCACTGCCTGCTCAAAACCTTAAATTATGTATCTACTGAAACACTTGAAATAGGCTATTTTGGTAGAAAGTTATAAGTGATGTTAAACCAGCCCTTTAAATGCTGACCTAGAAGAGTTTGAGTTTGAAGAAAATTTGCCGACCTCGTTTCTATGTTTTATGGTAAAACCTTAGTACTAAATTTATGCCGACCTCTAACAGATCAAGGTTGACAAAATATTGCCAACCTCATTTTTCTTAATTCCAAGGACTGTTACACACACAGAGATCAGTAGGTTCATCAGGAAGGTTCTTCCTTATGAACCTATTGATAGCGAAACATGCTGTTAAAGAGCACAAAAATTAGATAAGTGTTTTTACTAAATTATAATTGCTCTGTTCTTTAAGAACATTGAGCACTCTATTTGTAGAATACATTAAAATAATTTATATATATATATATATATATATATATATATATATATATATATATATATATATATATATATATATATATATGTGTTTATACATGTATATATATACATGTATATATATACATGTATATATACATGTATATATACATGTATTTATACATGTATTTATACATGTATTTATACATGTATGTATATATATATATATATATATATATATATATATATATATATATATATATATATATATATATATATATATATATATATATATATATACATGTATAAATACATGTATATATACATGTATATATAATATATATCAGGCTTGGACAGGAATGGCGTGCGATCACACACTGTAACTGACCACGCTTTTATTATTTTTCTTTACAATTTGAGGATGGTAGTTTTTATGTTTTAACAATATAAATGCCATTTAAAAAATTGTTACGTTATAAATAACTTTTAATCTTTGATCGTAATTATAGTGATTTTTAAAATAAACATATTTGTTTAAATTTAAAAATGTTATATTTAATTTTTTTTTTATGTAGGCATGTTTTATGATAAATCTAAATATAATAATTTGTTAAAAACTATTTTTCCATGTCTTTCTAAAAATCTTTTGAAATATAATTTTACATTGAATTATGATTAAGTTAAATTAAATCTTCCATTGCAATGGAATGATTTAAATGCTTTATTTTTGTTTCTATTCTTACAAAGAATTGTTTAAACTTTTTTTTCACTTGAATAACTAATCAGAGAATGAAATAAACTAATCAGAGAACTGTATAAATATTTATGCAATTTAAAAATAATATATATATATATATATATATATATATATATATATATATATATATATATATATATATATATCACTTTTTATAAATATTTATGCAATTTAAAAATAATATATATATATCACTTTTTAGTAGGGCTGAACCAAAGCTTTGGCTTTGGCATGCTGAAGCCAGGGTTTTTGCCGTAGCATTGGCTTTGGCGAGTTTTTAGTTAATTAAAGGTAATAAGCTACTGTTATATTAAACATAAAACAAATTGCTTACAATATAATTACTATAATTCTACTACTTGTAATTTCTTTCTTTACTTTGATTCCTTGATGTATGCCAAGGCATATATAGTATACATTGTGACGTGCCATAACTATATTGCCTTGTTATGAGATTTTGTTGTGTAATGGAAAAGCGTAACGTGAATAAAGGTAACTTTATTAAATAAAGATATTTACATCGTTAAAAGTTTAATTGCGTAAGTTGCGTATTTTAAAATACCACATTGTAATTAAATTCAAAAACACATTAGAAATTATTGTAAGTCTTTTGATTGAAATATCTTTAAATTAAAGAATATTGTTATAAAAAAAGTTATAAATTAAATTTAAATGTTGATTAAAAAAAAAAATTCTTTATTTTAAAATCTTATACTTATTAAAACTTAATTTTTTTTCTTTAAAACATTTTTTTTTATGGTTATTTTTTTTAAATGAGGGGACACTTGTTTATGGTTGATTTTCTTGAAGAGATTTAAGTGTACTTACTACACAATTAGATTGGGTTTTCCTTTTTTATTACAATTTTTTGCGCTAATAAAATAAAAAATTATAATTAAACGAAGATTACTGCTTTTCGGCTTTTTTTTATTTCCATTAAAATGTTTTATTTTTATGTACCGTATAACCTAATGTATTTTTACTATTTCTTACTAAATCCAAAAAGAAAAATAGTATTTTTGGTTTTAAGATGTTATTAGCAGAACTTGTTTTTAATAAATATCAGTATAATTTTGAAATTTACATATCTTATATTTATAGCACTAGTATTAGTTTTGTTTTTAAAATAAAATATAAGTTGGGCTTTTAGAAAGTTTATTTATTGATTGCATTATTTTTAATCAGTTTTGCTCATTTTATAAAAAAAAATTCTTCTACATAAAATTTAACAGCAAAGGGAAAACCCAAACATAACATTTAAACTCAAGTTTAAAAGAACTTTTTTGTATTGATGTCATTTATTAACTACAAAGGCGCATTATTTAGACTAGTATTTGGAACTTACCTGAAACTTAACTGAAATTAAAATGAAGTTATATGTAATGCGAACATTTTAAAGTTACTTGAATTAAATTTATCAATTTTTTTTTTTTTATTTTAACATAAATTTTGGAAATTTTATCAGTAAAAAAAATTGTAAAATGGAGCACTTGAAATTTTTAGAAGAATTTTATTTAATTTTAATCAAATAAATTAATAAAACTATGAATAATAAAACTTATTTAAATTTAATAAAATATATTAAAAATATTACTTTTTTTAAAAACAGAAATTAGAAAAAAGAATATCTATCTGTTTTTTTATCTAATAAAAAAAATATTCCACAAATGTTTTTTACAACTAATTACAGTTTAATGTTTTCCACATTACAAGGCCTAATATTGTTATTCTTTGTTTTGATGACCTGCTTATAAAAATTAATGGGTACTTTTTTATATTTTTTTAAGTTAGATGTTTAATTTTATTTCGTTGTTATATTTACTTAAACCTATTTTCAATATAACATGTATTTAGTTTTTTTTTGGGGCTTGAAACATACGCTAGAAAAATTATTTCTTCCATCACTCAAAAACATGAATAATCAATGATTTTATAATTACAGAAGCAGATACCCTTGATAATTGTAAATGATCATTTACAACAAGCAAAAGAAGTTAATTTCGCTAAAGGCTCCAATCGTGATGCTCCAATCAAAAAAGAAAGCATGGGCATGTATATATATATATATATATATATATATATATATATATATATATATATATATATATATATATATATATATTTGGGAATTTAGGTGCGGCTAAAAAAAAAAGGTGATTATACTTCCATTATTTAGATATAATTAAATTTTAATTAAAATAAATGTTCTTTTTGAAGAAACTCTTTGTAAAACGCTTTTTGAAACTAATAATTTCTTTAGAACTCTTAAAAATATGTATTCAAAAACGTTTGTAGACATCTAAACTAGCTTATTTGGTAAAAAAAGTCACATTGATTTTTTTTTACATAAGACGCTTTGAAAAACGGCTGCAGTTTTAAATGGCTTAAACGATTGGTTCTGAAGAAATATACTTGACTATATAACTATTTAAATACTTTAGTATTTTAAAATACTTAAAAAAATTTTTACAAATGTCAAATTTTTATCATTAGATAAATTTAACAGTTATTTTTTTAATTTATTTAAATTAATAGCTTTTAAATAAAAATTAAATGAAAGTTTTCGAAAACTTGGTTGGCTCGCCAATTTCTGTCAAATATAATGTTTGTTAAAAGAACTTTTGTTGCAATATGCTACTTTAATTTAAATAAGTAACAAAAACATATAGGGGGCAAAGCGAGATTCTTTCACCGCACGAGGACAGCAACTAAATTTAATTGGCGTATTTTAAATATCTAGCAAATTAGGTATTTAAATTAAAAAAATGTAATTAAATACAAAATCATTATTATTACTATTTTTTCAATTTACATTACATTCATTAAATATCTGCATAAAGTTTGTATTTGTAAATTAGAAAAAGAATTTTGTATTTATAAATATTGGTTAATATTTAATAATATTATAATATTATTTAATTATCTTCTTTTACGTTTTACGTAAATATAACATAGATAATATGTTTTATTGCAAGTTTTATTTTTGATTATTTTTATTGTTATTTTTAATTTACTTTACCTGCTAATTTATTTTACTGTCAGTATTAATAAATCTTTTATTACAAAAACGTTATTAATTTATTCTAAAGTATAATACTTATTATTATGCAATTTCTTTGTAACTTTACTAACTTAAGATAAACAGCTAAAACATAAATAAAGAGTTTTTGAATAATAAAGATAAATTAATAAAATAATTTATTAAACTTTAAAAAACCTTAACTCAAAATTAACTGACGTCAATAAAAATTAAAATAAAAAGTTTTTTTAAACTTTTGAATGAATGATCATATTAATGTATGGATGCTTGTTAATGACGACATTTTTACACATTAAAAAAATCAATAAATTTAATTCATTTTTTTGTCATGCTTCTAATTGCGTTTTTCACTTGTCTAGCGCAACACTTAAAATCTGAGACTGATTTAATTTTTTTTTTTTTTTTTACTATGATCTTATGAATCTTTGGGAATTTGAAACCAATTGGGAATACCGCGTTATACGCGGAGCCATCAGGCTGGTTAACACCCTGTATATGTTAGGAAAATAATTTGGGCCAAGGTACCCCCATACCAGCGCCCTTACCAGCGCCTTTTTATAACAAAATTTGCCGTAACTATTTTTTTGCAAAAAAAAAAGATTTGCAGTAAAAAAAAAAAAAAAAGATTCTCAAAATTTGAGAATCTTTTTTCTTTTATTAAATTTCATATGTATGTATAGATTAGATATATAGCAACTTACCTAAATAGTATTTCTTATTTTAAATAAAATTTTAAATTTCATTTCTATAAATATCAATAACTTTTTATAAAAATGTTTAACATAACACTTATTTTCTTGATTTTTTGTTTTTTAAAGAGAACTAAATATTTATTTCAAGAGAACTTTCATTTTATTATTTTACCAAAAAAAAAAATTATATTACAGCTAATAACGTACTTTTATATACAATTAAGTTTTTTTTTAAATAAGAAGTTAAAATAATTTTGATAATTTAATTAATCTTGTCATAATAAAATGTCCCAATCAAAGAGGAAATACAAAGATCAGTAAATAAAAAAGAATGACTTAATTGGTCAAAGGTAAAAACGTGTTTGATGTTGAACATATTTTTGCGAACAAACAACTTATACTATGAGTAAAATATCTTAGGCGCTGGTTGACAAGACTTTTAAATTTTTTTAGCTTAAAATAAATTAAATAACGATAACTAACCTTAGGACGAAACGACTACTTCTTTGGTAGTAGTAATGAATAAATGGAAGAACGCAGTTGTTTTTAAGTTAATATTCCGCATAATATTCCGCGGTTTTGCTAAATACTTGGACCAAATTAATTTGGTCCAAGTAGTCCAAATTTAATTACTACTTGGACCAAATTAACTTGGGACGTAAAGGGGGTTTAAATGATGTCACACAATTTTGAATATTTTTACCATGAGTGACTGACTTTTTTCATTATTATTACAATAATTGTAATAACCTAATAATAATAATTATTATTAGGTTATTTATAATTGACATTTCGCTTGCCGTTTTTGAGACTAAAACCCTCAATATATGTAATATAATTTATCTTCCTTATTGTCAAACAATGTATATATGTCTAGTAACATGAAAAGTATTATTAAATAAATTATTTTATCTTCAAATTAATAAAATATTTGTATAGGTATTAAAATAACGCATTTTTCAAAAATTGTATTTTTAATAATTTTTTATTTGCAAAAGTGCAAAGAAATTTGAATCTTATCTCAACTTACTGGGATAAGTGGTTTAAAAAAGGTTAAATTGAATTAAAACAAAAAACAAATTCTCAAATTAAATTTGTTTAACGGCTGTGGTATTAAAATTAAAATATTATTGTATTTTAATTATTATTATTAATTGCATAGCTGATATTATTAGCTATGCAATTAATAATAATAATTAATTATTAGCCGAATAATATATTTATATTATATTATTAGGCTAATATTATTAGCCTAATAATAATAATTTTATATCATTTATGCAAATAAAATTATTTACTTAAAACTATTTACTTAAGCAAAAATTATGTACTTAAAATATTTTTAAACTTGAGTATTAACCTTCATGTAGGACGTGTGTGTAATGTTAGTATATTTTTTTGAACTTAATTTTTTTTATTTTTGTTTAAGTTTAAGTTTCTATGTTACAATACAATTTCTATGCTACAATACAATACATTACTAATAACAATACAATTATAAAGTATCAAAATAAAATTATTTAGCCGTGAAATTTAATGAAGTGCGGCACAAGGCACTTCTATGCTGAGGATTCTCGGTGTATCCGGTATTAAAATGTTGAGTCTACTTTTGTAATAAAGATGTTTGAGCTCAGTAAATATTTTAGTTACTCTTTTTTGAGTTTTATTTATATCACTTTTGAAATTGACGCTGCTGATTCAACTTTTTGTTTGATTTTGAGGTCGTCTTTTACAACCACGCCGAGGCCACGTCCAGTGGCAGTGACTCAAAGTTTATATGTAATTTCTTCTTCTTTTTTTTTGTATATTTTGTTTCGTTTAATAATATTGACAATTTAAAAGTATATAAATGAAAAAAATTGAAAAGAGGGGGCAAGAATAAGACATTATTTGCTTTATTAAGTTAAAGGAATATTTCAAGGATATCATTTAAGATTACAGGTAACACTACAATTACAGGTAACACTATAATTACAGGTAACACTATAATTACAGGTAACACCATAATTACAGGTAACACCATAATTACTATTAACACTGTAATTACAGGTAACACTATAATTACAGGTAACACTATAATTACAGGTAACACTATAATTAAGTTAATGAGTTAAATGTTGATACATTTTGTAAAATATTTTATATAATTGAACTATTGTTTAAAAGAAGCATTTATTGCATACGTGGTATATATCTATGTGTTACATATATACCATTATTAATATATATATATATATATATATATATATATATATATATATATATATATATATATTTGTATTAAAAGTTAAGTTACATTTAACGGGTTATAACCAAAAAACGGTAATGACTTTGAAGACAAAGTTATGTTACATACTTTATATTAATTATGGTTGCATTATTACCTTGTTTGTTGCATTTTTAATTCTCTACAAAACTTGATTTATTTTAAATTAAAATAATTTAATTTACAGAGAAAAATGAAAGAAAAAAAAGAAGCCCGCCAAGAGCGTTTGTACAAATTTTATTTGAAAAATCGATCTAAAGGGAAAAACTATATTGTTGATCACTTTTTATCTAAAAAAATTTCTATTAACACCATATATATCATTATTTGACGTGCTGAAAATAATTCTGGGTACCAGAGACTCCCTGAAATTGGTAAAATTGCTAAAATAATGACAAAAAGGAACATCAAAGAACTTAAAGTTATGTTTGACTACAAAGTCGGCAAATCGCAAACACAAGCAGCTTGGAAATTTAAGTGCAGTCAAGTATATATCGGCAAAACATAAAAAACAAAGCCCTTAATCAGGCCAAAAAAGAAAAAAAAGATTCCATTTAGAACTTGTGACCGAATAGAGACAGCTTGGACGAAGTGCGGTCGGCTATATCGAATTTCCGCCAATAAATTATTATTCCTTGACAAACTAGTCGTATTTCACATTAAACAGTCTTCGATTAATGGAAGTGATATGTATTATTCAAGGCATGTTTCTCAAACACCGACAAGTGTCAAATTCAACCCCACTGCAAAATATGAAAAAAAAATACTTGTTTGGATTTGCTTTTCAGATGAAGGAATATCTTCGCCAATATTTAGAGAAAGTGGCTTTGCAATCAACCAAGAAGTTTACAAAAATGATTGTATCAAGAACAAACATCGTCTCATTATGCAAAACCTGTACAAAACTATATGAATGAAAAAAACATCAATTTTGTCAAAAGAGAAGATAATCCTGCAAATGTGCCTGAATGTCGTCCAATTGAGGATTTTTTGAGTATTCTCAAAGAAAAAGTGTATGAGAATAATTGGAAAGCTGATAATCTAGGAAAATTGCGCAATAGAATAAAGTATTACCTTTTTAAAATGGAAAAATCTCTTGTACAGCGCCTTTCTGAGTCAACTCGGCGCCGATTAGACTACGTAAGACACAATGGTTTGATTGAAAAAAGTTAATATGGAGATAAATTGCCCACGTAAAATACTATTATTTTCTTTTTTAAATTTTTTAAAGTTCTTATCCAATAAACTAAGATAGTTATGCCCCTTCAAAGTTATTACCGTTTTTTATTTAAATTTAAAAAAAGTCCTTATAGTTGTTTAATTTGATTATTGTAGGTTTTAGCTTTATTTTCAGAGAGTGTTCGTTGTTTAAGAATAATAGTGATTCGTTTTTGGAAACTAATTTTTTAAATAAACAGGGATCACGATATGTAATTGAGAATTTTAAGAGTCTTATTTTTTCAAATGGTATCTTAAAGTTGCCTGTTGCTCTTGTATTGTATTTATTTATATTGTTTTTAAAAAAGTGTACTTTAAATGTTATGGAACCAGACCTAGTTTATGAAAAATATATTTTAATAAATATTTATTTGAAATATATTTAGTGCGTTCATTTGTTCCAGTAAGGGTTGAGCATGAGTAAGTTTGTTTTTGTTGTGTACTAGTCTTGCAGTTAAATTAGAGTCCTGGGAATTCCCACAAATTACGACATACGAAAACGTTTGTTTTTATTCATACTGTATAAATAGCATTTTATTGGTCAAATAACTTTTGAACCAAAGTAAGTTATTATATTTTATGCTCCGCAGTATTCAAGTCTTTTTTTATTAGTGTATTATAGCTTATGGTATCAAAGGGTTTTGACAGATCGATTAAAACTTCTTATGCTAAATTGTTGTAGCTAAGTATTAGGTTGACTATTTCTACCAATGTGTTCTAAGCTGAAATTTTTTTCTAAACTCGAGTAGGCACCCCTGTAAGCATACCTGACTTTAAAAAAATAACTTCATCAAATGCAAGCATTCTTACACATGACTGCACACGGTTTTAAAATTAATTTTCTTAGCTGTGGTTTATTTCTGATAAAATCATTTTACGGCAATATTTTCAAAAATTGCGTCTTTAAAAAATACAAATAAGCCACACGAATACAACATAAAATGCATTATTAGACATTTTTTAAAAATTAAAATAACAAAAAACGATCTATATAAAACAATCTTTTCTTGCTTTTTTACCGGCAAAATTTGTTATTGTATCATCATATGGCAGAGTCTTAGCCAACTCATTATCTACTGAGAGCATTATGAGATCCGAACGGCGTTCTTGTCCATAGTGGCCCTACAATAACTCTTTATCAATTTTAGTTTACTGAAGGATCGTTCACCCTCTGTAACAGATACTGGCATAGTAATAAAAATTTGGATTAAGATGCATACATATGGAAAAGAAAGCTGCAGACTCTTTGAATGTATTTGGTTGAGAAGGCTCAATAAGTTTCCAGCAATAAAAAACGAAGACTTCTCCAAACAATTAAGATGCAAAATTTCTTGTATGAAGTCATCTTCTTTAAAATCATTAGCGTAAAACGGTGCTAACTCACGAGCTTTTATCTCTTGAAATCTGGAAAATTGATTTAAAAAAACGACTTACTTCATCTACTACTTGAAGAACTTTATACCAAAAGGTCAGAAGCACAAAAGTTTCAAAGGATTTCAAAAAGTTTATCAAAGACCTTGCTTGATTTAGCATGTCAGCAGTGAGGACAAGATCTTCTAAAGTACAATTAAGGGCAGTAATAATTTCCCGTGGTCGTTTTGCTATTCGCTTAATAGCGGCAATCCGAGCTGACTACCTGGTATCGAAAAGCTTGTGAAGAGAGATTCCAGTCAATTCTTGAAAAATCTTCCACCTAGCCGGACTGCAGCTGAAGAACATGTAGAGAGTTTGAATATTACCAAAGAAAGTATCCATCTCAGCACAAGATTCAACTGCATGTACTCCAGCTAAATTAAGGCTATGGGCGCCACAAGGAATATAGAGTGCTAATGGGCTTTTCTGTAAAATTAACGCTTGCGCTCCTACGTAAACTTCTACCATATTTGAGCTGTTGTCGTAACCTTGGCCACGGCATTTCTGAAATTCAAGACTTACTTTTATTAAAACTTCACAAATTAGCTTCGCTATATTCACTCCTTTTTTCTCTCTATGTATTCAACACAAATAAAACGCTCTTTTACCTCTCAGCTTTTTTTTGTTGAAGCTGAAATGAACAAAGCGAAGAATAAAAGTGATCTGTTCAGTGTGTGAAACGTCTGGGGTCCCATCTATAATGACTGT